TGGCACACACCCCTCCATGTTTTTCTTCACCTTGACCACTTCATCAAATAGTTTTCCTTTCATGTCCCTCTTCATTTGTGGAAACAAAAAGAAGTCACATAGAGCAAGGTCAGGTGAGTAAGGTACATGGGGCAAGAGAGGCATGCTGTTTTTTGCCAAAAACTGGTGCACTGAGATGACTGCGTGAGCAGGTGCATTGTCGTGGTGGCAAAACCAGTCCCCCATCTGCCACAAATCAGGCCTTTTTGGGGCCCACACATTTATGCAATCTTTTCAGAATCTCTAACTAGAAAGCTTGATTGACAGTCTGATCTGGTGGACTGAACTCCAAATGCACTAACCCCCTCACATCACATGCAATTCAATTGTTTTTTTTTGTATCTCTTTGTATATGAAATATCTGGAATAGTCATGTGCCTAGAACCACAAGTTTATTCGTGGCCACCAACAGCTGGGAAGAGGGAAACATAGGAAGCTATTCTTTGAGTTGTATGGAAACCCCTTAGTAGCATGGTGGGCTAAGCCCTGAGTGCTGATGGATTGCTGGTGGCTGTACCACATGAAGGCTCTGTGGAAGAGGGGAGCTGGTGGCTTCTATAAAGACCCACAACCCTGGAAGCCCAGGGAGCAGTTCTCCACTGTCCTACAAGGCTACTAGGAGCCACAGGCAGCTAGATGGCAATGGGATTTCTTTTTTTTTTAAGTTCCTCTTTACAGGATACAAAACATTTGAAAATGGATGGGAGTGAAGGATACATAACAAAATATAATTAAGGTAATTGAATTGAACACTTACAATTGGCTAAAGTGGAATTTTTTTGGTTCCATATATTTCAACATTCCTCCACCTGCTTTCCGCCAACACTGCCAATAACATGTAATACAAGTCTATTTTTGGCAGTTTTTGAAACTGCCTAGCGAAACTACAGTCTATCTCTGACACTAGGTGGTGTGTGTGTGTATGTAGGTGTACATCCATGCATATACTTATATATTTGCATGTACAGAAATATACACAGGGACATATATATACATTTATGTGAATATATAATAGTAAAGTCCTGCTGATCTATAAATGGAACCGGAGCAACTTAATTTATGTACCTAACAGGAATGTTTTGATGAGCTTTCCAATAGAAAAGGTAACACTTAAAGATGTGTGAAAGGCAAACCTGTTACCGGAGAATTCCACATTGCAAAACATACAAACACCATAAAAACTGGTGTCGTTTCTTTCTTGCTGCTGTTGCTCCAGAATTTCTTTCTGTAAAGCAGAAACAAATCTTTGCTATTACCTTAATAACTACTCAGCTGATTAATGAAAAATGTCAGAGTCAGCCTGGAAAGGTGGAACTGGGGGGAAAGTGCAAAGAGAATACAGTAGTCCCATGTGACAGCTGACGATATCTCCACTTTCACTGTTCACACCCTCCTTGAACTAACACTCCGAGGTGGCCCTGCTGAAAGCCTACAGAACACTCCACAGGCCAGCAGGGACCCGTTAACAGGGTCTCACCACCCTGCCTCTTCTTCCAGACCAGCCCATCTTTTGCCAGCGGCTTCCCACCATCCTTTGCCAAGGAGTCCTGGCAGTGCAGTGGTTACATGTTGGGCTGCTAGCTGAACGGTTGGCAGTTCAAAACCACCAGCAGCTCGTCAGGAGAAAGACCAGCTTCTCTACTCCTGTAAACAGTCTCGGAACCCCACAGGGGATCACTGTGAATCACCTCTAACTCCATGGCAGTGAGTTGTTGCTTTAATGATGTAGGGTCCTTGCTGGGAGCACATGTTAGGGTGTCACCATGTACAGGGGACAGACTGCACCTTCAGGGTGCTCTACGCTGTAGCGCTCCTCTGGTTTGATGCTCTCATCTCCCTTTTTCTGGCCACCTGTGTGTATCCTCCTTTTACTCACTCAAGCTTTCCATGACGCGCACTGATCTGCTTCTGTGCCCACTAACTGGCTCCCCCAGCTACACCTCCTTCCCATCTGCCATTCGCTGCTTTGGTCTCCTGTTCTTGCCCTGGATCTAGAACAGAACTTCAGATACTCCTGAAAACACTGCTCAGGAAAAACAGACAATCAAATTCTAGGAATTAAATTAAATCAAGGGAGTTTGGTGCACTTCTCCCCCCACCCCAGGGGATTCTCGCTGTTATTTTCGTCTGGTGGGGATGCTTAAACTCTGGTTCCTGGTTCGCTGAGATTTAGACTACCGTTACCACATACCATTGTTATAGGAAAACATTTCCCTGTAACATATTCTAAATGTTGTGTATCTGATAGAGGCACAGAGTGATAAGACAAAATTTGATCATAAACAGACCATTAAAAAACTAGTCTATAAATGGTAACAGCTCTGCCTAGAAATACCATATATACTCGAGTATAAGCTGACCCGAATATCAGCCGAGGCACCTAATTTTACCACAAAACTGCATTAAAAATGTGCTGAAAAACTCGGTTTATACTGGAGTATACATGGTAAATAGAAGTACTCAAAAAACCTCTATCTAGAAATAAATATAATTAGACCTCAGAAGTAAATGAATGGCTCTCTACTTTTTACTGAATAAAACCTATAAAATCCTTGTTATTGACAGTACTTTACACTGGGTTCAACTCTAGATTTCAACAACCTTTCTCTCGTATTATTTCCCAATTTCAAACCTATGGTATCGGGGATATAAAGAACATACACTTTAATTAATTAATTTGTACGTTGTTCTTCTCCACAGCAGAGTTATATACTATGATTGACATATTACGATTTCTGAAGCTGCTTAGTTGCCTGGGGAACCATTCTCTCCTCACCCCGTGGTTTCTATCCACGTTTTCCAGGCTGCCCTTCCAGGTTCAGTCCTGGTTTTCTGTGAAACCTGGAAAGAACAAGGCTCTTTTCTAGGATTTGCTTTTTACTTTGTACCTCATGGGATGTGTCAGGTGACCTCTAAACCACCTGAGACACATGATACATCACAAAGGTGGCTGGCTAGTCAAGGCTGCCTCTCTGCTAGAAGTGCTATTTGCTGCCTTTTGTCAGTTTGTAGCAGTCAGTTGCCGCCTGTGGGGCTTAAGTCTTCAAGACAACTCTCTTCCCACCATCTCTACTCAGGGAGAATGACCTCCCTAATGCCTTACGCACCCACTTTCTTACAGCAGGTGCTCAATAATATAAAATTAATATCTCACATGCAGCAGCATATATTACGTAATCTGAATGCTGTTCTAAAAATAGATGCCAATTCATAGCGACCCTGTATGAGAGGGTAGAACTGCCTCCGGGAGTTTCCAAGACTGTAACTCTCTATGAGAGTACAAAGCCCTCGCTTTCTCCTGACAAGTGGCTGGTGGTTTCGAACTGCCGACCTTGCCTTTTGCAGCCCAATGCATAACCACTAGGATAGGAGTTTATGAAACATTTTATCCCTGACAGAAGGTTGACGTCTATCATATGACGTTTCTTATATGCTTGATATTTCACATATACGGGTCACTGCTGGAAAAACCTTGGCAACATTACTGCATTTTTTCTTTCTTTTTTTAAAAAAAATTACTGTATTTATGTAATAATGAAAGTAACACGCATCTGACTAGTTTACAAGCTCCCTGAGGGCAGAACTGCTGTGCTCATCCCTGTATTTCCACTGGGCCTTAGGAACAGGGCGACACAATAGATACTGAAGAGAGCTGTGTGCTGCCTGGTCAAAGCCCTTGAGAGGTTAGAAGGTGCCCAGGAAGAAGAGATGCCCATCCCCACCATGTCCCAGCCTCGCACTCCGATGGCGGTCAGTGTACAATGAGCCGAAGAAAAGGAACGGTGGGCTGTCAGCGTTTCCATTGCTTCTTTCTTCTGGAGCTCCTGCATTTGTAGGGTAGGAAAAATCCCCAAGGCAAACTGGTTGCTGGTGAGTCCATCCCTATGGGTGGTGAGTCCATCCCTATGCGTGGTGACTCCCCGAGTCCTCCTTAGAGTGGTCCAGGCTGTGGCCTCCTAGAGGACAGCCAAGCCTTTCTTCTGAGGGGCTCCTGGGTAGGTCTGAATGAACAATGCTCGCTTATCCAGTTCGTGGTCAAGTGCTTAATCATTTGTACCACCCCCAGGCTCCTACAGCAAGAAAAGGATGTCGTTCCATGATGGTTTCTTTTTAAGGACCCATGTTGATAGATGCTAAAAGGCCTTTAATGAGGAAGAAGCTGAGTAGAGCTAGTTAGCCAATCAAGAAACATGTATTTTTTCTTCTCCCTTTTATCCCTTCCCTTCCTTCGTAAAGCTTTTATCTGGTAGGATTAATTGTAGCATAGGTTTGAAGTCACTTATGAATAAGAATGAAAATCACTAATATTAGGAGACCATTTGTAGATGACACCACAAAGACTAAAGTGCAAATCATAAGCCCATTGGCTTTGTGGTTTATTTAAAAAAAAAACACACCAAAAAACCAATCTCACACTGGGAAGACAGGCTCGTTTGTATTCATAGGTTTAGAGAATGGAGGGAGGAAGACAGTGTCACAGATGTTACATGTTTGAACGTCGCAAAGCAGTTGATGAAATCAGATAAAATTTTCATTACAAAATCAGCTCGGATAAGAACCACAGTTGTAAGACTACAAGATCAGCTTAAGGACCGGGCCAAGAGTCAGGATAATAAGCTGCGTGTTTGTTTAATTGGGATAAAATGTCAAGTGTGGTTGCAAAGGGGTCAGTGCATAGTCTTTGATCTTTATTCATAAGCTGAGAGCAGAGGAAACATTAATGAAACAGCAGAAATAGCAGATGGCACTCAACATCGTCACAGGGGCTTGGCATACAGGGAGAAAATGACAATGTGAGGTCGGGTGCAAATGAAAGAAATCAGCCAGTTTAAGAAAGAACCATACAGAACATGTCGATTAAGGTAAGACTCTGTACACAGGAGAGCGAAAAGTGGATGCTCAGAAGGACAGATCCAACAGAAAAAGCTCAGACCAACACAATAAAGTAAAACTAAGGCTGCTCTCATCTTCTTTGGGTATGTTATTAGGAGAGACCATTATGCTGCTCAAGCAGGAAACCAAACCAGACTCACTGCCGTCACGTGGATGTAACTCATCGCGACCCTACAGGACAGAACAGAACTGTGAGCTTGAGGAGACTAACTGCTGTAGAAACTCTGTCTTTCTCCCGAGGAGTGGCTGGTGGTTTTGAACTGCTGGCCTTGTGAATAGCAGCTGAATACGCAACCACTACACCAGCAGGGTTTTCTGGTAATGCAGAAGGGTAGAAAAAAAAGAGGAAGACCCTTGACGAGCTAGACTGGCGTAATGGCTGCAACAATGGACTCACATGGAACAACTGTGAGGATGGCACAGGCCCTGGTGGGCAGTGCTTCGTTCAGTTGCCCACTGGGTCACAGTAAGTCATAACTAACTCAGCGGCACCTCACAGATAGACACCAGAGAACATTTCCTTGATGCCGACAGGAGATGGCGTACCGCTAGGGTTTCCTGGCTGAATGGATGAGGGTGGCAGGAGAGAAAATGGCCCTCTCCCAGGCTTCCTTCCCAGCACAACCCAGGGGACTCTGCTGGAAATTCTCAGTCTGAGTCCTGAGTCCAGCAGACTCCTCCAACCCACCCACTGGCCCCGAGTCCATTCCAACTCCCAGTGACCACGCAGGAGGACGAAGGCGAAGAAGTGCTTTTTAGGGTTACCGAAGCCATTCCTATCTCACGGGAGCAGGCAGCCTCATCGTTCTCCAGCAGAGTGGCTGGGGGGCTCTAATCGCCACCCTTGTGGTTAGCAGCCCCATGCTTAAGCTACTGTGCCATCCGGCTCCTTCTCTACCAGTACAGAGCCCAACAAACCTTCCCTCTAAGCTCACAGCAGTGGTCCACCGTTCCCACAGGAAGCCCCCACAGTCTGCTTCTCGTGCTTTCAATCTTCAGAAAGACAGGCCATCTCGGAGGCATTTCAGTGTGTCAGGCTGCTGTGAAATAAGGTGGCACAAAGACTGAAGGTGGGCCCCGACAGATCGAACCTGAAGGGCATGAGAGCATGTGATGTGATGTCACGGACAACATACTAATAATAAACCCACCAAACAGCATGGGGCTGTGTGCACACTGACCTTCAAAACCAAGCTGCTCCTCACGGGAAAGCATATCACAACTCGGAGAGGAGTGCGGAGGTTGGGGCAGGGCTGTCATGACGTAACACAGCACCTGCTTCCTCGAGACTGGAGGATGACAGCTTAAGACTGTCTAGGAAAAGAATGAACG